CACTTTACGCACCTGGGCTTGGCAAAGCAGTTACGGGCGGCGTGCCCGTAATTCTGGCATTTGTGGCACTGTCCCGGGAGGGTGGCCTTGTGTGGAGGTTCGATAACAATATTGGTCAGTCCCATGACTGACTCAATATTGAATATTGCTTTCCCCTCTGGAGTGAGGTCTAGATGGACCATGACCATGTCTATGGGGCTGCGCTTCCTTTTGCTTTTCATGCGGTGGACCGCATGAACGGGGAGGTAATAAACCCCACTAATTTGCAGCTTATATATATTTGGCCCGCCGTGTACGTGGCCTATAGAGAAACCCACTACTGTTCCTAACAACTAAGCAAATCGCAAACCAAAATCAAGAATACCCGTTTACCGAGCAAAACTAAAATCGTACCCATCGTATAAATCTCAATCGATGAAATTCGAATTATTATTATTAAATTGCAAATGATCGGCGCTTGTCCCTTAATTAATTTGTTAAAATATGTATACAGTGCATTTTATGAATTTAACAACGCCATCTAATTTTTGCATGGGAACTAATTCCCTATCTTATCGTAACTTACTGCTGGACTGTAATTCTATCAATTGAAGAATTTGTTAATAAATAAAAAAAGTTGGATTTTTTTTTTATAATGAGACTGAAAATTCACGTTATCGTGGTTAAACTTTTATCACTGATAGTACATTTTGTATGGAAAGTAATTTTTTGTAATGGGAGCTACTATGTCATTTGGAAAAAATAAAAACTGTTCCAAGTGATCCAGAAACTAATGACATATATTTTCTTTTTAAGTAAACTGATTACGATCAAACGATACTTAAATATTGCGAGGAAGTTGTACTGACACGCTGTCAAAAACCACGTAAAACGATCCTATGTTTTGTGAGTATTCAAATAACTTTTTTTTGAGTGAACCAATTGCAATAAAACAAAGCTTTAATGCTGTACAGAATTAATCTTGAATACTTTCAAAAACACCATACAAATTAGTCAAGTAGTTGGATAACTCTGATAACTTAATTTAATCTTAGAACTCCCATATCTCCCGTTTGAGTGAACCGATTGAGATGAAACATAGTCTAGGTGTTGCCCAAAGCTTCGCTTAAGTAACTAGTGAAAACTGCATCAAAATCCAATACGTAGTTTCCAAGTTTATCGTGCACAGACAGACAAAAATTCCTAAAATGGTTTTATCAGTATTATTAGAAAAGTCAGCTATTTTGTTATTAATATCTAAGTATACATAAGTAGATATAAAGTATGTAAAAATTAAATTCGTGTTTTATTTTTTGCAGTAATTGGCAAGCGGAAGCGAACTGGTTTTACCTATTTAGGAAAATATTATGTAAGTATGTAAAAGTGGACAACATTTATTTCGGTCAAAAATAACAACAAAGAGTACTTTTATATATCTGAAACAGTACTTTTATATATCTGACTAGTTGAAACATTAAGATTCGTGAAAAAAATAGGCGCTTCATAGGTTTCGCACACAGGTGCTGTGGGGGGTCGGCGCGGCCCTGGCCGAGTGTACAACATTGAGAACACGATTTTTCTATCTGTAAGCGGTAGCCCATTGATGTCACCAATGAGAAAAAACCTTTCGGCTTCGCATATCCGTGCTGCTTGCTGCCAAACTAGGATTGTTTTTATTTCCAATCACGTCAGAACTCATAATTCCTTCAGTTAGTGACACTTTCGCTTAACTGTGGTCGTCGGGCTAGGCCCACATGGCATTTCCAATTTTTTACTCTATGCTGTGCAAAGGAACGGAACTCCTGACAAGTAACATTTCTTTTACCTACTTGTCAGGAGATGTTTTTTTTATAAGCTGTAGGGCATGAGGTTTATAGGTACGTGTTAGGGATGAGATATACCTGCAACATTCTATACCCGGCCTCAAAGGTACGGGTATCGCCGTATACCCTGTGCTAACACCCAGTATCAAAATACCTATAGGTATTAGTTATGTTCAGGCCTCCTTTTGGAGACCCGGTATGGAATTGAACCTTTCTTTGTTTGGAATTGGAACATTTAGATGTTTTTTAGCAATCAGTTTTTTTTTAATTGAGATTTAATCAGTCTAAAATAAGCTCCATCTTTACTAACGTAAAGAACCCTATTATCAAAAAAAAGTAATTCAAAATAAATATTACTGTTTAACCTTATTACGCAATTAATACTGATATAGTCTGTAAAAATCGACAGGATATAGTAGCACACTCTGTCGAACGTTCTATAGAATTATCCTGCGTTGAGAGTCAACAATATATTTTAATATGCGTGTATCGTCCCCAAAGAGTAAAGTTATATATAGGAGAAAGAGTGGCAACTCTATGATAAAAATTGGATCTATGGAAAGTGCTGCCGCCTGGAGTTTGGTTGAGTAACTTCATCTATACACACATTGACAGTTTTTAGGCCAATGTGTGTGTATACTTATTATGCCTACCTATACATATTATATGCCTCTATATTATGTGATTTCCTATTCACCAAACCAAAATGAAATGCTTATTTCTTTAGTAAAGACTAACACAAGGTTTTTAAGATATTTTAATAACTGGTACGGATTTTTTTAAATATGCTTAATAATTGAAATTATCTACTAAAGGTAGCAAAGCAAAGGATATTTTCTTTCCATTTTTGAAAATGGCCCCCCTTAGCTTTATCCTGGAAGTTTTCTCAAATTGGAACACAGTACGCATTTTAGAAGTACTATTGGGTTCTAGGAAAAAATTGTTATTGTTTATATTACATTGACTGAAAATTTTCATTTATATAGAAGATGTGTACATTTTTTCTATTACAACCATGACAACAAGTTTATATCTGTTCTTGTAATTGGGGTTTGAACATAATGGGAAAAAATAACTATAGTGCAAAATTAAATAAATAATTTTAGTTTATCTTTAGAACAGTAAATTTGAACAGTAATTCTATTGTTTCCGTTATAAACAAGTTTTCCTTCTAGTATTCTATTTACAGATCTGCACCAACTATAAACAATTATATTAATGGAAATATCAATAAAACATTTCTTTAAATTTTATTTATGAGTTTCACAATCCATGAAGGCAAAATAAGTAAAAATGAGAGATGAAAGCTTTCTTTTATATATTTTTATGACAATCATCATTTAAAAATGCAATTGTTATTTATTGTATTTCTTGAAAACAAGCCACTAAGCATTCAGATGAATAGCAGAGCCATTTTTTATTTTGACTTTATTCTTTGGCCTTAATATATTTATACAGTCCATTGCCAGTATTGCTTAGTAACTTGTCCTTACATTTTTTGCATCCTTTGACTACTTTTTGTAAACATTTCATCAAGGCCCACCCATATAGACATAAGTTCTCTGATCAGTCCCGGAATCTAAAACATTTCTTGTTCTTTGCATAATAGTCAGAGGCTGATCAATAACAATATTTTGGGATTTAAAGGGAGCCTTATTAAATTCTTTATTCTTAATAAAAAAAGAGAGTGGCTGCAAACAATTGTTTAAATCTTTTTCACAATTTGAATGAATAGAGTGATTGCTACTGAAATTATTTAATATAAGTATTTTAAATGCTCCCTCGAATCCCAAACAGTTAGGTGCAATATTCCGAGCACCCAAACTGTGAATACTGCCAAAGAAGTTTTCGAGTGGGTCTTGATTAAAATTGCGTGTTAGTATGGTATCAAAGGAATATTTTTTAAACAATAATTGCCACAATGTTGTTCGATGATGTTTGATGATTGTTCTCATTAAATTATTTACAGTTGGTACAATTTTTCAATTTTCTCGCCATCACTTTAATTATATAAATTTATATATTTTATAATATATATAATTTTAATTTTTTTTTTGATGGTAAAGTGAAATGCTTACACATTAATTTGTAACTTTTAGGGCTTTTCTTGTACAAAGAGAGAGTCAATATTCTTTTGTCAAGAGTGAATCTACACCCTTTTTTTCTTCAGTCCTTCCATGAATTGCATCCTGGTAAATAGCTTTGCTGACTCCGACATGTTCTGAGACAATTTTTCAAAATCACTTTTTAATGATGACTTCTGTACCTGCCTAAGAAGTGACTTGAGACTTGACTTGTTGGTGCAATGTTCTTATTTCACTTTGCATCTTTCTTACTTTTCTTGCACACCAAGTCTTACACATTTTCTGCAGATACTCGAACATTTTATCTGAAAGATTATATCAAGAATTAATACATTTAAATAGAATTAAGATTTAATGAAACAATATTTTTATATGTATTAACATGTAACAAGTATCCAGCTATGAAGATTATTTATTAACCATATCTGTGACAAATTGAATTCATGGAAACTAAGGTGATTCATTTACATAAGCACTAGAAAAGTCACAATTAGTGGAGTGGTTGGTTGATGGCAATTTTGCATACAAAAAATAGAACCATTATAGGATTGATTAACTATCTTTTCTGTGTCTCCATCTTTTAACAACTTATTTTCTCTAAATCTACGATGACCAATCAAGATTTGTAACACTGATTGTATTGTGTATTGAGTATTAGTTCGTCAAATATAATTAAAATATATGGTTAAAAAAAATTTAAAATTTAAAATATTTTAACACTATAACCAAATTTGTCACTTATCTTACATTATTATATAAATAAATAAGTTATTTCTTTGCCTAGGTTAATCTCAAATTCATTTTTATATCTTAAGGAAATTGTTTTGCAATATCTAAGTACCTTCGGTTATTTCTACTTCATAATTATAGTTTGGCTAGTTTCACTATTGATTAAAAATATCTTTTTTTTAAAACATGTTTGCCTCTATTGTTAACAATTACCGTACATAATTATGATTCCTAGAAACTTGTAAACTTATTCTTTTTAAGAAATAAATATAGAAAATTGTATTACCTGCACCAAAATTATTTGAAGATTTTTGATCATAATGGTTCTCTTTATTTGAAGTTGTAGAACTAGATGGCATTTGACATTCAGTGGGGCCACCATCTAGTGACACTTTACATAGAGAAGTTCCAGGAATATATTAGCCAAAGGTTTAGATTGTGAATATTCTCTTCTTGGACAGGAGTAACTATGGTCAATTTCAACAAATGTTAATAGTGATTGCTGCATACCTGCAAAATAACATTAAAACATTTTTATTTATTTTATAGTTGATATCATAGTTACTAGTTTATGCAGACTTAGAACACAATACTATAGTTCATCTCATATAGTACAACCTGTTCAAGAGAAACTGACATACAGATGTATGTGATTCAGATAGTGCTGGCTTGGCCAGGTAAAAACCTGTCGTAGTGTGTTGTCCTACCCATCCAATATTAACCCAAAATTATCCACCCAAAATTATCTGGAACTTTTATATTGGATTTTGTTAGGGTTTCGGATATACAATATGGTTATGGCTAAGAAGGCCTATAGCAACCTTGATATGGGCCAACATCAATGTACTGAGCCAATAGATGTTTGCAATTATTTAAAATTTATAAAGTTAGTAGACTTTTAATGTCAAAATTTAAAAAAAATGTTTTAATGGCACAAACAAATAGAAAGTCAGAATTATTTAATAACAAAAATCAACGTTACATATTACAATATTTACAAAATATTTATGTTTTAAATATTTCAAACCATTTGTTTCTTTATCATTATTGTCACGATATCATATGGACCGCCAACTGCCTTAGAAGAAGAAGAATCAAATTTCACTTACGATTCAAATTAATGGTTGGTATTGATTGTTGACCAACTAAGACGACCTCCGGTAGTCTTATACATTGAATCAAAATGGTTATCACATAACCTTTTATTAGCATATATTTTCTTAGGATCAGTTTCTGTATGTTTGTCTCCAATACGCTTCTCAGGATTTGGAAATCGGTGTTGGGGTAAACCGTGTGCAACTTAAATAGGAAACATTTAATTAGTATAAAGAACATATATTAATGTATAAATAGGTATTTTGAAATAATGATGGTTGAAAGCCTCACCTAAAGCATCACAACCAAAAATACTATATTTTTTCGGAGGTCCACTCCTCTTAACAATAGAACGAAAATTACCTATTATTATGAACAACAAAATACAACAAAACAATGTAAAGATAAACAAGAATATTAATAACAAACAGAAAGATGACATAACATAATAACAAAATTTTACTGAGTTACAGTTAACCAAAAGTTAACCTCTAAATGCATCAAACATCAACAACACGAATGCAGCAGAAGATGATTGATAAAGAATGAAGTTTGACAAGCTCTAGATAGGACAAAATGGCGGCTAAGCTTTATTGTTTCCACTAAACTCCAGATGTCGCTGTCGAACATAAAATTTGACATTGTTCTAAGTGAGCCCCCCCTGATCGACCCCCCTCAGGTGATTTCGATCTGTTTGAGTGTGTAATGGATGATGTACTTAAAAAACTCTGTTCAAGTAGTAAATCAGTAGTAGTTTGTGGAGATTTTAATGTGGATTTATTACAAGTGACACATCTTAGTAAACGACTTTTAAATTTATTTAGTTCATTTAAACTTAATAATCTTTTTCATGAACCAACTCGTGTCACTAACTCATCCTCCACATGTATAGATAACGTTTTCTGCCACGATAATGTATATGATAAATATGTTATAAATTATCTGAGCTCTGACCACTTTGGTTTAAAATTTTCAATAAATGAAAAAGTTATTACAAGCAAACATAAGATCAAGTGTAGACCAGTCACTACTAATAGAATAAATTCTTTTAAAGACAAAGTGGCACATCATATGTTAAATAAAGATATAGAAGTCAATAACCCTAATGATTCTTATAAATCAATGGTTGACTTTCTCATATGTTCTTATAATGATACATTTAAATCACGCACAATTGTTAAAAATTCAAAATTAAAATTTAGTGACTGGGCAACAGTGGGTATATATAAAAGTAGGGATTCACTGTATGAATAATATAATATGAGGCAGTGGAATCATGACCCCAACTTTCATAAAAGGGTACAAATGTTCTCAAAAATATTTAAAAAAGTCTGTATTCAGGCAAAATCTATTCATATAAGAAATAGAATAATAAATTCAAACAATAAAATTAAAGCCACATGGGACATCTTTACCCGTATATCTGGAAGACCCAAGATATTCAGGGAACCTATAAAACTGGTTATAGGTAATACTCCCATAACATCATCTAATGAAATTGCAAGTAGTTTTGAAAGCTATTTTTCAGAAATTGCAGTTAATGTCACATGTACATTAAAATCATCTCCCATAGATGCAATTAACGTTTTAAGAAATAATGTTACCTATTGTCCACACACATTTAAATTTAATCACGTAGATACTTATGATATTATAAAATTTTTGAATTCTTTTAATCTTAAGAATACAGGGGATTTATGGGGCATGTCCATAAAATTAATGATCACAATAATGCCATATATTGCACCACATTTAGCTAATATTTTTAACAAGTGCATAGATTCTGGAATATTTCCAGATATTATGAAATTTAGTAAGATAACAAGAAGTTAAGATCCCCGTCTTCAAAAGTGGGGATAAAAATGATCCAGGAAACTACAGACCTATCTCCATATTGCCATCTCTGAGTAAAATTTTTGAAAAACTAATTTTAAATCAGCTCTTAGTACATTTTAACATGAACAAAATTTTTCACAATGAGCAATATGGATTCACTAAAGGCAGATCGACAACAGATGCGGGTATCGCACTTGTCAAACACATTTATAACGCCTGGAAAGGGTCGCAAGATGCAATAGGTGTTTTTTGCGACCTTTCAAAAGCTTTCGACTGCGTGGATCACAAAACCCTCCTTCAAAAGCTTGATTATTATGGCATTCGTGACATCGCCCTCAATCTCATTGCCTCTTACCTTGGTAATAGAATTCAAAAAGTATCTATAAATGATGTAAATTCCGCAGGGTCTCCCATGAAAATGGGTGTCCCACAAGGATCAATCTTGGGCCCATTATTATTCTTAGTATATATAAATGATCTCCCCTTTTATGCCAGTGAGTTATGTGATGTTGTACTGTTTGCTGACGACACATCGCTTATTTTTAAGGTTGACCGAAATGTATCGAATTATGACGACGTGAATAGTGCACTTTCGCGTATCCTCCACTGGTTTACCATTAATAATATGGTGTTAAATGCTAAAAAAACTAAATACCTTCTTTTTGCCTTTCCCAACGTAAGAAGGCAAAGTTTTAGCTTAAAATTGAGTAGCGTAACCCCTAATCCTGTTGAGTCCGCTGTATTCTTGGGAATCACAGTAGATTCAAAGCTCCAATGGAGTCCCCATCTATCATCTCTCATGCTCCGCTGTTTTTGCAATTAGGAAGGTTAGGCAGCTATCAAACATCGACACTGCCAGACTTGTTTACTTCAGTTATTTTCACAGCATCTTGTCGTACGGCATTTTGTTGGGGGGTAGTGCATCTGATATAAATTCAATATTTATTCTTCAAAAAAGAGCTGTCCGAGCAATTTATAACATCGGAGCCCGAAATACACTCAGAGATCTTTTTAAAGAGATTAATATACTCACTGTTGCGTCTCAATATATTTATTGTAATATTTTGTATGTTAAACATAATATTAATAATTATCTAAAGAATAGTGACAGACATAAACTGAATACTAGAAATAAGGACAAACTAACTACGCCATTTTTTCGCCTACAAAAAATAAACAGGTCGTTCATGGGGCAAAGTGTGCGCATGTATAATAAAATCCCACATTCGATATTAAGTCTGCCACTTGATGAATTTAAACGAAAAATTAAAAGTAAACTTATGGCTAAAGCCTATTATACTATTGCCGAATATCTTGACGACGCCAATGTGTGGGGTTAATACTGTTGATACTCACGTAGGCTAAAACAAGACTATTGTACCTGTACTATTATATTGTAAACTGATTTTTTTAAAAAAAGAGCAACTGTTGAGTTTCTTGCCGGTTTCTTCTCAACAGAAACTGCTTTCCGAACCGGTGGTATTCATTTGTTTTCTCGTCTGATTGGGTTTATAAATAAAAATATTATTATTATTTTATTAATATTATTATTAGTACCCGGAGGACTGTTTCATGCCAGCCTCATAGATACCCATGTTTTGTGATATACCCAGGTATCGGTATGTTTCAGCCTCAGAGAGGGTTCTTAAGTTAACGGGCATAGATAAATCTATGCCCTCCGTGTTAATGACCTTACCCCTTTCGACATGGAGAACCGCACACTTATCCGTCCCAAGCTTCATTTTGATATAATTGCTGAAATCACAAGTGACTTTAAGTAATTCCATCAAATGGGAGCGATTGGAGGCGAATAATTTGAGGTGGGTCACCTTTGTCCCTCCTCTCCGAAGCTGAAATCCTCCTCCTGAGGGTTCAGAGAGAGGCAAAACCATATTGGGCTCAAACAGTCACCCTGGAAAATACCCCGTCGTATCCTTATCCGGTATTCCGCAGCCGTCATCCGTTCGCCTAGATGACAAAGGATCGTACTCCATTGCCCCATACAGTGCTCGAGGAAGTCTCTTACTGTACAGTCTACTTTGTATAGTTCGAGGACCCTCTTTAGCCATGTATGGGGCACCGAGTCGAATGCCTTTTTGTAGTCTATCCAGGCGGCGGAGAGGTTCCGACGGTTGCGTTTAACCATTTTGCCAATGACCGCGTCGATGAGAAGCGGTTCCTTGGTTCCACGACCGCCGTCCCGACATCCATTCTGCTAAACCGCGCCGTCCTCTCGGTATATCGCCGAATCCGCTTCCCCCAAGCAGCGATCCTTTGCTTCAGGTCATCTATGCGCTCCGTTAGTTTTTGCATAATATCCGGCTGGGACATGCTGATGTTGGTCCCAGCGAACGCCATCCTAACGGTGCGCACAATTCTGGGCCTATTATTGCCCGACCTGAAACTTATCAGCCTGCCGATGATGGCCCTTACCTTTGCGATACGGTCCTCAATTCATCTTCTGCAATTTTTTTCAATCCCTGCTGGCTTCCAAATAGGTTGCCAGCATCGGGTTAAGAGACCTCACGACAGACCGACTCCGCTTACTTAGGGGTATGCGGGGGAGTCGTGGTCGATTCTCGAGACGTGTTTCGCGCACCTCCAGAATTGCCTCCTCCAATATGCTTCTCATCTGCTCTATTTCTTGGGCGACTATTCCATCATCGCACGAATCTACAGGAGCCGGGGGGTAAAACGCGGCGTCCGCTTCCGCTTGTAACCCTGCGGGATCCGCAGCTTGCGGGGTCGCATTTCCAGCCACTGCATTTTCATTCGATGAGGGAACAGCCTCACGTCGAAGTCGTTCGAGCTCGGCATCATCAAATACTTTTGAACGCATGATGTACCGAACTCTGTCTGCTAGGTTTTGCTCGGTGACGGTTAAAGATGGCTCCAGCTCAGCAAAAACGCGATGCATCCTTGCCCGATACGCAAACCCTCCAGTTTCACTCCCTTTCGCCCTAAAATACGCCCGCATTGCGTTTTGATTCATTATAGACGTCCAGCGCAAGCGGCGTATTCCACCAGCGGCGGGTGCCGATTGCTGGATCCGAGAGGATCCTGCCGACACCAAGCCAACTGGTGGGGATGATGGATGCGAGGTACTGCTTGGTGGTCGTGCAGTACCCCGCGCTCGGCTGGCGTCCCGCATGCTGCCACGTCCAGCGCCAGCTCCAGACGCGCCCTGGCGGCCCCCAGGCAGCGGCCCTATTCTTTCTTTCTTCTATTTTCTTATTCGTTCTTCTATTTTCCATCATCCATTTTAAGTAGGGCGTCGTTTAACGGAAGACGCCCCCAGACCGGCACCGTTTTCGGTAGTGTGGCCGAACGCACAGACGGGCCTATGCACCCTCACTTTTGCCTAGGCACGGTGCAAACATCTGTTGGCAAGGCGCTGACTAATTGCGCCGACGTAACAGTTCTGTCACTTAAACTGTTACGCCGGTGGGCGATGGGGTCGTCACTTCCCTACGCCTTTTTTTTATTACTATTATTATTAAAAAATTATTATTATTAAAAAAAATATTTATTTAACTTATGGTCATAGAAATAAAGAATAAATTTATCTCAAGGAATCATTTGGTATAAAATGCCTAAATCATACGTTTCAATTCGGGCATGATCGGGAAGAGCCGCCGTAAGCGTTCGGGGAACTTCGTACCTATTCGTCCGGCGGGTTGTCGCGAGCGTTATATACCGCCACCGTCGGACGAGGCGACCATACCTATCGGGTATGGAACGGGCCTCTGCCGTACATACCCCGTGTGCGTAATGGTATGTTTATACTGGGTATTTATACCTGTTCCAGTATATACGCCTCATCCCTAGTACGTGTATCGCCTTATACCCGGTCCTAAAACCCAGTATCAGAATACCTAATAGGTATTAGGTATGTTCAGACCTCCTTTTGGAGACTCGATCGAATCGAACGACCTTTGTAACATTTAGATGTTTTTTTAGCAATCAGTTTTTTGAAATTGGGGTTGAGATTCATTCAATCTAAAATAAGCTCAATTTTTATTAGCGTAAAGAACCCTATTACTAAAAAAAGTAATTTAAAATAGATATTACTGTTTAACATTATTACGTAATTATTTATCTACCTAATGGGCATAGAAATAAAGAATAAATTTATCTCAAGGAATTACTTGGAATAAAATGCCGGCGGTCGAGCGCGAACGTTATGAAATACCGCCACCGTCTGACGAGTTGGCGATATGACCGCGTACTCGCGAGTTCGGGAGCGATATCGACTGTCAATACCTATCGGGTCCGAAATGGGCCTCTGCCGTACATACCCGGTCTGCGTACTGGTTCGTTAATACTGGGTATTTATACCTGTACCAGTATATACGCATCATCCCGAGGTTCAGACTAGGCGCCCCGAGCGCCCGGCCACCTCATGCCCCTCGGAACTGTAAAGGCCCCTAAGGCCAACAGTGGCTCATCCAGCACAAAAAAAAACTCATCATCTCTTAAAAAGCTGTAAATAATAATGACACAGTCAACTAGCGATGGGCGTTGAATCAACGAACTAGTTGAATCAACCGTTGATCTCTTGTTAACGAATTAACTTTAACTGTCATTGAAATCAACTAGTTGAATTCGTTAACGTCGTTTCGGAAATTTTGTCGTTGAATCAATTCGTTTAAAAACGCAGTCAACGATACGTTAAGTCAACGGAACATGAGCGTAACGAATTGAAAACCTTACGTTGAAAAAAACTTACGTTGAAAAAACTTACGTTGAAAAAAACGACACAGAGTTGAGTTGAAATGTTTGTTTAATTTTATGAAGGACATGTTTAACTTCGCTTTCTTTATTTTTGTTTGACAGTTTGTGAATAGTTGTGAATAAAATATTTAGTGGCTTTGCGTAAATATTGTTAGAACTTTACTTCATGTTTAGTACATTTTTTTTTGTGAATTTTTAACTAATTATATTTGAAATTTTATTTCATGTTATTAGTTTTGTTTATCAGAATTTTACTTTGTGTTTAGTGTTTTTTTTTATTTTAATTTATGATTATTTCAGTGTATAGAGGACTGTGGGTACAAAATTCAAAATAATTGAACGTATTAACAGTGAGTTATGGCTTCATACCTAAAAAGACAGTTCTAGCGGAAAAGCTGTTTGTAATGTATGCAAGGCGAAAATATCGAACAAATTGACCACTTTAACTTTAAAACGTACTTGAAGCGGAAATATATTTAAATATTTTCATCAGTGTTTTAGTACCAATCTTTAAACACCAGCGTATGATGGTTGATTTTGATGAGAAAAAAAATAGTTTCGAAGAAAAGAAAAAAAATAATTCAGATTTGTTAGATTTATGCATAGATAGCTTTCATCCGTTTTTCCTAGTAGAAGAAAGGGCTTGCAATTTAACATATTTGTGTAAGTGTCACGTTAACTAGTTGACGAATTTAACTAGTTGATCAACTAGTTGACGAACATGAATCAACGTTAACGTTAAGTTGAAGAAAATACATTCAACGACCCATCGCTACAGCCAACACAAAACTGACATTTGTTGTCAGCTTGGTGTGACAGTTACAGTCCTATATCAATCTGAATTTGTCACGCCTGATTAATCTGTACAATGTAGGTGCTTATCTAGCATAATTATGATTAATAAATAATTGAAACGTAAAGTTCTCTAAGGTTTATTTTACACTGTTACTTATAATTAAAACTAAAGAAAATGACTTTGCCACTACCGATACCTCCGTGCGCCAAGAGAGATGGTCTTAGTGGCTTAGGTTGTGATCGTTTTGAATATGCAAGTAGTATGGCTACTACATTACTAGCACCCGTAAAGACAGAGCGTGAAATCCTCGAGCATTCCATGTCTGAAGATGATCCAAACGCTAACACGCAATTATTGAGTGAAGTAGGCAAACAACCTAGATGGGGTCCACGACACAAAGGTGCTCAAGAACTTGCAGAATTATATAGCCCAGGTTAGTTGAAAGTCGGAAACGGTAATAAATTTATATTAATCACAAGATCAATAAAAAGGTTGTAAAATACAAAAAGAACAAGACAATAGTGCTTTGCTGCTAATCTAGATATTAAACAAAGGCTGCATTTAGAGACGTTAAATAGGTAGCATTAATGGTTTTTTTTAAGAAATTTGTAAGTGAACAAATTAAATGATAATGCACTTACCCAAATTGCTATTTGACATCTATGCATAATGCTAATAATAGGTTATTATTTAGGTTAATAAGAGGTTATTATTTTATTTAAATTACTAACAGGTCTTCTTTGTAAACAGGGAAAAGGCTTCAGGAATGGGTGTGTGTGGTGTTTTGTTGCACACTAACTATTTGTGCAGGCCTCCTCATGGCCAGATATATTAGACCAGATGCATCACTATTATTTGCAGCCCTAGCTGGAGTCTTGACAGCAGATTTTGCTTCAGGAGTAGTGCATTGGGCTGCTGACACATGGGGAGCTGTAGATTTACCTTTAATTGGCAAGGTATATTATTGAGACTTAGAAAATTCAATATAAACCCCTATGAACACAAAAACCTATATCTCCAGTGATCTAAAATGTGAACTTCAAATTAAATATAGGGCAATATGATACACATGTGTTATTCTTTCAAAAGCACAATCTATAAATCATTATGTAGTATCTAATAATAAATAGTTTTGTATGTATTACACTCATAATTAATATTTAAGAAAAGTAGATTGGTATAATATTAAATTATTACAAAATGTTATTATTTTTTTTGCATGACCATTTTTTATAATTTCTTTTTATTCAAAATTTATTAAATTTCACTTTCTGTTAGTGAAAACATGAACATGGTTATGTAAACTAATAATATTATTTTGTTTGTTTGAAACAAAGTAATCAAACTATTCTTTAGTATTTCCATAAATTATTATTTAATTTCTAAAAAGAAAACTAAGTACTCAGAGAAAACAGCACTAATGCAAAATGTCTATAATTTTGAAAAAAAAACCTATACAAAAATAAATTGTTCACTTGAATTCACTATAAAGCAAAATGACAATTTGTTACAAAATAAATGTATTCTCTACACTGTTAGTATATATATCCCTTTGTTCTCAAGAACATTATGAGGGTGGATTGAAAAGTGTGAAGTTTTGCTTGGACAGCTATTGGTTTATAGTTTTTAATTAAAAAAATGGTCAATGAGACCTATGTTGACCTATGATAAAAACTATAACAGTTATGTTAGAATTCTGTCACTAAAATAGGAGTGCCAGAATTCAAACAATAAACAATTGAACAATAGAGCATCCAAGATGTCGCTCTTTCTGGCTTACAACACTTTTACCTGAAGACAAGTATAGCAAATGTGTAATCAAATTTCCATTCACGAGATAACTTTAAGTTGAGAAAAAAGGAATAAGCATTTTCTGGCGATTTTTTGAAAATATTTAAATATGATCGCAAGATTGTTTTACCAGATTGTGACCATGAGTATTATTGTATTTTACTCATATGCTTCAACCGTATATCATTTATATTTTAAAATTGACTTACACTTACTTATAATTATATTCAGGATAAAAAATTAAACTAAATCTGTTAGGTTATATCAAATTCACATCAACTTCATATTAATTCAGTCAGCCATCCCAATCCCATATCAATGGCGAAAATTTGTGGAAATATAATTATTTCCTAATCATTTAACTTTTCGGAAGTTGAATGTCGAATTTAAATATGTATCTGCCTGCATAAAAATTTCGATAATTGTTTACAATATGGGCATACGCGTTTTTTGTATGTCAATATTTTTAATCGATAGAGAAACGTTAATTACGAAGTGAAAATAGGGCGGAGATATTTAGATTTTGAGAAACAAAAATGAAGCTTTCCACCCGCGTATTATTTTGCTACCTCAGTTATTATTTCCTATTTCGGGGTAAAGGTAAAAATATGTAAATAGTTGTAATTTTCATCACCATTTCAGCCTGTTTTAATCCACTACTGAACATAGGCCTCTCCCTATATAAATAACTAGCGACTCGCCCCGGCTTCGCACGGGTGCAATGTATTTAGGGTTGCCAAACAAAACTTATAATAAAGTATTTTTCTTTATTTTTTTTGTAAAGATACTTTATAATTTTTCATAAAATTGAAAATACTCTTTTTAATATTTACTGTAATGCATAAAATAAAACAATGTATGTAATGTACACAGCGTGTCGTTCCACCACGACAATAAATGAACACACGTCTAACGCTACTTGCGAATAATCATAAAAAAATATTAACGTTAAAAAAATCCATAATTAAAAAAATATTTTTCAGAAAAAACTAATTACGTAAAAAAGAAACAAAATTTGTAACACCTATACAACTACAACTGACTAATTCATACATTCAGAGACTTTCATTCGTTGCCACAGCGTCGCATTACAAGCCTGTCCTTCTAACAGTATGTTTTGTCTCTTTGTGACCTTTACAAATGAACTTTACGATACAGTTTTATACGTAAGGGTGTTCTAAAATTCTTTGTTTTGGAAAATTTAATAAATCAGTACATATTGATGTTTAAAGAATGTAAATGTTTAATACAATTTTAAAAAGTTATCCTCTATATGTGTGTTCATTTATTGTCGCGATTGTAAAGACACGCTGTATACATAAAGCTTACAGGTTGGGTTTTCTAAAGGTGACCAAATTCACACAGGAGGTTCAGACACTGTAGTATAATCGTTTATTGAAATGAAAACAAACTTTTTTTTCAAAAAAATTGCCATTCTGTTCCGTATGTGTAGTCATTCATAAATGCATCGTATACTTTTGAAACGAACTTGTGTTTGTGTTGGTTATGAATGATCGCGCGTAGAATAAATGAGTTGCCCATAAGTCCCGCACTTTTTGAGATAAGTTGAAATTAATGTAATTAATTACGAGTGATTTAAAATATCATTTTTTATATAACATTATTTATGTCTAGAATTTAATTTAAAAAAATGGATAAACTTAGGAAAGCCTCCCTGTAAGTATGTACCTATATGAATAATTACTTAACTTTTATCGATCAAGTTAAAACAGAGCGCTTTCAAATTAGAAGCTTTGGTAGTTAACTATATTTTATGATATATCAAAAAAAAATTTTGCAATAAATACTTTTTTTATTCTTCCAATTATTTTACTTTTCTCTACTTGAAATATGAGATACTTTATTTTTCTCAAAAACAGGTTGCAGCCCTAAATGTAGCTACCTTACCTACCCTATGTTTTTTGTATAATAAGACTATTTGACAAATTAAATGCCACCTATTATTAATGCCGAAACCCATAAACAAACCAATTTTTTACATCTAGAAATCCTAGTAGATTAACATAGTATTATGATTATTTTGCAATTCTAATAATTATCAAATACAAACGGGTCGGATTTTTATTCGGTTAAAAATGATTTTTCAATAACAATAACTGATAAAAGTCCTTATTAATTAAAAGTAGAGAAAAATCAAACCTGATTTATTGGCAGCACCGATAACATGGACGCATCGGTTTCTATAACAGTTACTAATTGAACATTTAATTAATTAATTAAATAACACTTTATCCCAATGAGCTACTTATGTATGAAATGTGATCACGTTATGTTTTTTTTTAATCTAGCTGCGTTTTTACTGGTAGTTTAAATGAACACACGTAAATCACGTCATGCAATATGAAGTTCGAAGACTGATTAAACACCTACACGATACACTACTCCATTTAGGTGAAGGCGCGACTTTAGGTTCTTTCTGTATTCTGATGTTCTTATAAAATAAGAAGCCCGACTTTATTTATAAGAACATTTTTTTAATCTAAACGTCATTTGTAAACAATAGTTAATGTCTGTTTCATTAGATGGAGAGCAATTGCGTTGAGAATTTGAAGGGCTTACAATGGTTATGTATGGGCTCATGAATGGTTTCGGCGGCAAAGCTAGTGATTTATTTTGTTTCTAAATGCTATAGCGACTGGCGATATTACCAAAAAATTTGAAACTACAAAACCGTTCGGGGTTTAAATCCAATAAATTTTATCAGACTTAAATCTGTTTATATTAAATGATTTTTACATCTAGCATAAATTCTTTATATTCTAGTATATGTATGCATCAATGCATAATTTAAAAAATGTTTTAACTTAATATGTTATAATATACTTTAAATTTTATAGAATTTTTTGCGACCATTTCGGGAACACCACATCGATCCTACGTCTATTACACGACACGATTTTGTGGAGACAAATGGGGATAATTTCGCAATCACTATTCCAGTTTTAGCCAGAATAGTCTGGCAACTATTAACATATGATACAGACGTTATTGATCAGCAGTTCCATTGGATTGCCTACTGGTACTTGTGCTGCATTTTTGTCGCCATGACCAACCAGGTAAGGGCTCTCTTTAATAATACCTGTATACGGCGTGTCGTTACAACCGCGACAATAAATGAACACATGTCTAAAATACTACTTGCCAATAATCATAAAAAAAACAAAATTAAAAAAAATGCATAATCAAAAAAAATATTTTCAAACAAATTAATTAAATAAAAAAGAAACAACATTTGTAACATCCTATACAGCTACAACTGACTGATTCATACATTCCGAGACTTTTTCATTCGTTGCCACAGCGTCGTGTTACAAGTCTCTCCTTCTAACATTATATTTTATCTCTTTTAAATTCATTCAACCCATTCATATGCTTTGTGACCTTTACAATTAATGAACTTTACAGTTGTATATGTAAGGGTTTTCTAAAATTGTTTGTTTTGGAAAATTTAATAACTCAGTGAATATTGATGTTTAAAGAATGTAAATGTTTATTAATACAATTTTAAAAAGTTATCCCCTATATGTGTCTTCATTTCATAGTTACGGTTGTAACGACACGCTGTATAAGAGTTCTGTAATAAAAATACTTTATACAAACAACAAAAATACATTCTCTGTAAAATTTGTATTGTACTAAAATAAAAGATGCAAAGGACAATTAAATTCTAATATATAATTCACAGTCTCTACCGTTTGACGGTCGTCGTCGGACATTCAAGTATTGATCGGAAGCACACTTGAAAACGATTTTAGTTCAATAATGACTCATACCACTCGATTATTTCTTCATGAATTGGAATAATTTTGAATGCGTTGTTTTGTTGTTTTGTAAGTTATTTTTCTATTTGAGCGTTTGAAAAAAATATGAGAGTAAAATTTTTACAATTTGTGCTAATACCGACACCAAAAAAAGCGACATTATGAAGTTGTTTGCCAAGTGATCAAATTCACGGTGTTACCATGGCAACTAATAACAACTTGTTTTCATCTACCTATTATTCTAAGTTAAACCGTTATCAATTGCATTTATAGTATTTTTCACAGAAAGAGTACTGGGGATAAAATATTTATTTATTTTCCTTTTTTTACGCCAAAGCAGTATATCTTCTTAGGTGCGTGCATAAACACACATACTTAATTTTTTTAATATTGCCCCGATAATTCGTACATGATATGACGAAACATTTCAAGATTTCTATTTGCAATAATTCAAAATTGTATGTTTCACTATTTTAGATTCACAAATGGTCGCACACATATTTTGGTTTACCGGTATGGGTTGTTTGGCTGCAAGAGTGGCACATAGTGCTGCCACGTCGCCATCATCGTATACATCATGTAGCACCGCACGAGACTTACTTTTGTATCACCACGGGCTGGTTGAACTGGCCCTTGGAAAAATTGCAGTTTTGGTCCACTCTCGAAATAGTAATAGAAGCTTTAACTGGGTGTAAGCCCCGTGCAGACGACATGAAATGGGCTCAAAAGCGTTCTTAGAACCATTTGCCCCGAGTTGAATTTTTTATATCATAAGGAATTGCCCTCAACTACATACAATTGTTATTGTTAACATTGAGCCTTAAATTTTGCTATGAAATATTTTATATTTAGTATAAACGCTTTAAGACAGTTACGCTTTAGCAAAGTAATTTATTTAAATTATTATGGTCTAGATGGATTTCCTAATGTTTTATTTACACATTTATTGTTATATAAAATCGAGGTATTTTTGAAAGCATAAATAAAAATATCTTGCACAATAAATTGAATTTACGAACATACCATTGTTTTTACAATTATTATTGATTGTTCAAAATTCCTTTCCATTTACCTTAATATATATTGAGTTTGATCCCTGAAAACAGCGTCAAAAATATTAGATCGTTATGTAGAGCACTTAGTACTATGGTCAATGACTTAACAGTGTCTCTCAACGGGTGGGCCTTAAGATGAACATGGACAACATGCATATCATGTCTAATGTCCATGTCACGTTTATACCGGTTGTTGTTGAGAGCATTGTCCTCGAAGCTGTTGACGAGTACTTGGTACCTGGGACAGTTGTCCGGGTAAGTCCAACTTCGATACAGAGGTCAATCGGCGAATCCAACTCAGATGGGCACCGTTCGGGAAACTTCGGCAAATCTCCTCGTCGAATATACTTTAATGTTTGAAGACTAAAGTCTTCAACCAATTTGTGTTGCCAGTGATAACATACGAAACTAAGCCGTGGTCATTCACTGCTGGCCGTATGAGGAAGCTCAAAGTCACTCAACGCGCTATGGAGCGGGCTATGCTCGGTATTTCTCTACATGATAGAATTCGCAACGAAGACATCCGCAGTAGAACAAAGCTAAACGACATAGTTCCGAAGGTTGGTAAGCTGAATTGGCGATGGGACGGCCATATAGCTCGTTGAACTGATAACCGTTGGGGAAGAAAGATTCTCGAGTGGCAGCCTCGTACTGGCTGTATGGGACGACCCCCCCCACTAGATGGAGTGACGACCTGTACAAGTGTGCGGGAAGTTGATAGATGCAGGAGGCTCAGGACCGTGGTTCGTGGCAGTCTATATTTAGTAGTGGACAACAGGCTGAAATGTTGATGATGTAGAGATTAAAGGATGCCAAATTATGTATATGCGGACGGATTATGAGATAAGTAAAAAAAGATGATGAAACTGCAACTATTTTGGTGTCTACCGTCCATACGCCGATCACAGATTGAGCTTTGCTTCTGTATTATCCAAAATAGTATTTGGCCAGTGCCGGGCTTAACAGCAGGCTAAGCAGGGGCGGCCTGAAAAAATTGAAATTGTCTTGCAGAAATAAAGAAAAACATCATCATAGTCTTTAAAATTTAAACTAATGTAAAACTTTCATAACTTTATTAATTTTATTGGATTGTAAACAGAAAATTTAATAGAGCTACTGCTCGTATTATTTATAAAATGTTTTTTTTTTAATGTGAAAAGTTGCCAAGCGAGCAGTTCACCTGATGTTAAGTGAATACCGCCGCGCCTGGGACATCTACCACACCTGAGGGTTCCAGATGCGTTGACAACCTTTTGTAAATTGGGCTCCGGCCAGGTGGCCTCACTAGACGAAACGCGAAAGTATTATAGTTCCACATTACTCCGGTCTTCTGTGAGGTGGTGGTGAGCCCGGACGAGCCTGCCCATTCGTGCAACAGCCGAGGCTACTTCGTGGCATTACCACCGTGAAATGTAACTGCAATAAAAGAAATTTACAACGTTTATTTAAATGTACATTATTTTGAGTTAACTATGTTCATACATTGGTATAAGTATTTTTAAGGCAAACCTGATTCCGTCTTATAATGAGAACATGATTGAGTTTTTTAAGCTCAGAAACATACCCAAAAACTGTTTTTCGTGTGATCCTCACTAAATCGTGAGTGGTAAAAATAATCTAGAAACGAACGCAACGAAACCCTAGTTAAAAATCGTGCTAGTAACTATAACAAAACTGATGTAATGATAACGATTGCGGACGAAAATTTATATGATTGCAGACTATCTGGAATCATGTATCTATGGAATCAGTGGGGGTCCTATAAAAAATTTTACGAGGTGCGAGGTCTAAAACTAAACCTTTAAATAAAAAAAACTCAATTGTTAAAGTAGTTGCTCTATTTTTCACCAGAAAAAACTTTTATTAAGTCTGAATAATTTAAATTTCGACCAATAGTATTGTATAGGCAATTTTGTATCGACATCAACAAGATCGGACAATCTTTCCTGACACAGTAGAAGTAGGTAAGTTTTAATTTACTGAAGCTTCATTCTCCTTTGGCAACAGTTAGAGGTACAGTTCAGGAAAATATCTTGCCGATCATTTTTTTTATAAGTTAAAGTACTTTTATTGACTCTCCTGATGGAAAATATTTTAATAATGAGTTCAGGCACACAAGTTCAACCAATTCATGTCCGGATATGTCACATTTTTCTCCATCAGTTAAAGTGACATGCAAATCAGCACCGGCTTTTCCAACATGGATTTTTCTGGAATAATTTTCATGTCGTATAAAAGTGCACCATGGATCATTGAATTTTGACAGGTGTTGAAAACGTGTAACCAATGTACTCTCGATTGTATCTATCATCGGGTATAAAACGTTCTATATGTTTTGTGGTAAAACTTAACATATTTAGTTAACATATTTATTATCATACTCATATTATTATGTTAAGTTCATGGACCTATGGTCCGAACGATATTATTGAAACTTAAAAATTTAAATAAAAAGAAAACTGAAGACTTATGGGGCTTATCAATATGGGCTTTAATCAATAATATCTGTGACGTTGTTTGTTTATTAACTCAAATATTTAATATATGTTTAGATTATTGAAAATAAAATTAATGAAATATAAATATGCAAAGTTGTGCCAGTTTATAAATCAGGGTCAAGAGAAAAATGCCTGATTACCGTCCCTTCTCAACGTCTTTTATCTACATTGTTATTAAAGGTTCCGTACCCAAAAACGGCAAATACTCGAAAACAGAATAAATAATATTTAAGTGGAGCTCCCATACAACAGACACAATTTTATGCCGTTTTTTATAGATTATGGTACGGAACCCTTCGTGTGCGAGTCCGACTCGCACTTGCCCGGTTTTTTTTAATTTCACGGTTAATATACAGCGTGACGTTACCATCGCGACAATGATGCGATGATCCGATTTACGTGATTTTTTGCCATAGTTTGGCCAAGTCGTTTTCATTTTATGAACATTTTTACAATATTTTAATGTTTGTCATCAAATCTTGCAAATTAAATTTGATCTACTTCCCGGTTACCGGTTGAGCTGAAATTTTGTATAGATGTGTAAATCGCGAGACAATGCAATATTTTTATGACATGGTGCTGATCTGATGATGGAGCTTCAAAGGAACTTCGCAATGAAACGACAGAGCCTCATCGCGTTTGGGTACATTTGAATCAGTAGTTTCAGTAGTTTCTTTCATAGGCAACCAGGATCTTATGATGGAGCTCCATCTTCAGCCGTCCATGGACATATGCATAGGGTTGCAGATGCGTTTTCTCCTTACAATTTAGTGGGCTCCGGCTGCCTCACTCACCAGACAAAACGCAGAAGTACTTTACGCCGATCTTCTGTGAGGTTCCTATGACCACTCTGTAATGAAACGACTCAACCCCATCGACTTTCGGCTCGTTTGATTCGTCTTGGCTAGTACTTAATTTTTAGATGGTTACCAGGGTCTGATCTGAATGACTGAATAAATATTTTTTTTGTTATTTATGAACATTTTTTTAACGTGGACGATGTAATTTTATTTTGTGTACGGCTATTTTAGGAGTATTCATTTGGGTTGATTATATATTATCATTAACCCGTGTCCCGATAGTCCTCTCTTAGGCTACTTGTCATTGAAGTGGAGCCAGCGTGCGAAGTAGAGGAATTGAAAAAAATTATAACCAATACGACTACATAAAATCTAGTAAAGAAGAAATAAATTAAAAGAAATTTCAATAAAAAGTAAGCCTACCAATAGCTATTTAAAAAAAATACTATACAGGGAGGGTTTTCTAAGTGTATCCATTCTTTTTTATTAAATTCTAGACATAAATAAAGTTATATAAAAATGATAAATATTTAAAATCACTCGTAATTAATAACATTCTTTTGAACTTATCTGGAAAGTGCGTGATTTATGGGCAACTCATTTATTTTACGCGCGATCATTCATAACCAACACGCACACAAGTTAGTTTCAAAAGTATACGACGCGTCTATGAATGACTACCGCATTGTTAACAAGTTCTGTTTTTTAGGGAATAGAATGCCAAATTTAAAAAAAAAAACCTTTGTTTTTATTTCAATAAACCGTTACACTACCGTGTTTGAACCTCCTATGTGAATTTGGGCACTTTTATAAAAGCCACCCTGTATAATATGTGATAATAAAAAGCAAAGAATTGTTACGAACAAAAAAAGAATTTTGCAAATCCGTCTATACAGCGTGTCGTTACCACCGCGACAATAAATGAACACACATATAGGGGATAAGTTTTTAAAGTTGTATTAAACATTTAAATTCTTTAAACATGAATATTTACAGAGTTATTAAATTTTCCAAAACTAAGAATTTTAGAACAGCCTTACCTATAAAAGCGTAACGTAAAGTTCATTTGTAAAGGTCATAAAGCATATGAATGGGTTGAATGAATTTAAAAGAGACAAAACATACTGTTAGAAGGAGAGGCTTGTAAAGCGACGCTGTGGCCCAGTCAGTTAACAGCTACCGATCGAGCCGAGGTCCGGCCCTCTCGGGCACCCTCGAATCGGAATGCTAAACGCGTGCTGAGTGACAGCCCAAGCCGAGGTCCCCTGTCGGGGACCCTTGAGCCTGATCACTCCATGTAGCGCCCGCCAAAGCGCCCTAAGAGCTTGGCGGCCTCCCAAACCGGTGAAATTAATAGCGTGACGGCCCGAGCCCGAGGTTCC